GCAGCAAATGGCAGAGAGCATCTTGTGGATGAAGGGCACCTACATAGGTGTGATAACACCCCAGGAGTCTCTCTCAAAGGCTCACCTGACTGCATCTGGGGTCAGGGTGGATCACATATAGGACAACAGGGTAACCTTGGAGTGAGCAAGGCTGAGCCCTTAGACTGAGATTTTTAAAACTACCTAATTCATTTAGACATCCACGGTGCCACTCTAATTAAAGAGCCTCCCTCCCCCACCCCCAAGCACATGTATATATGCCCCCATATCCCCCCCACCTTTTTTTATTATAGGAAATCAATATCCAAGGACATGTCTATACCATGGCAGCAGAAAGTGGTGGAGATCCCAAACACCCCTCCCACTTGCTTCAAATCCAGAAATATGATAGTGAAGACACTTTGAGGACATCCCCAGCAGCCTCTTTCAAGCATGTCAAACACCAAGGTTTCAAAACTGCTCAAAGGCGGACATTCTGCAGCATCTTCCTGGTGTATTTCCTGGTTTGAGGCAGGTGAGTGGAAGTAAGTAGATAAGTGGGGCATGCTCAAGGCCAAGACACGCTACTGCTATGCTATAGATAATTTGTATATGACTTTTTACATCTCAGTCTTAGTTTCTATCAATGTATTTCTGCTGGTATGAATTCAGTGCAAGAACATGTTGTTATGATAGGATTTAGAATATGACAAACACGAAAAACAGCCTCATTTAAACTTGGAGTGTTTGGGAAGAAAGGAAGTTCATTTTTTGCTCACATTACTGACACACCAGTCACTCCACAACTGCACACAGGAGAAAGTCCAGAACAGGTGCATCAATGAGGGAACAAAGAGAGGACAGAATAATAAGATGAATAAAAAGAAAAACTAAAAAAGTTCATTGAATGCTAGGTTACAGCCTCATAATTAACATACTCTGCTAGTTAAATTTTGGTTACAGATACTTAGAAATGCTTGTTTTTACTTTGAAGTTGACAAAACCCAAAGAACTTGCCTATTCAGCTAGTGTTTTCTATGATTAGCTATGATACATGACATTGAATTAAGCCTATTACTGCCAAAGGAAAAAATACATTCCACTTCAGTACAACATAGATCTATTTGAAATAAGCAGCCCATGATTAAGATAGTAGCATCATTAAAAAGGGCAACTGATGCCATTGACACACATCTCTATTTAAACAAGTTGACTATTAAGGATTAAACTTACACTTATTAAACTAACTCACCAAATGGGCAGGTAGAAGTTAAATATAATATTTATGTTATGTACATTTGTCTCCCATAACATTTCATTTTAAATGTTTTGTACCACAATAAAAACATTTCCAATGTTAGTGCATAAAATATTGTACTACAAGAATATCGGTGAAGATCTCAAAATATGTTTTAAAAGTACAGTTCTAACTAATGGGTTTCAAGCTGAGGTTCAACATACACAGCAGGATATCCCTAATGGATTCCTGTTTTCTTAAGCATAGCTCCACATGCTCAAGAGGATCAGCAGAAGCTATTTTCATTTGTTTTCCTAGATGAAGTGGCTACATTGTAGCTACTTTGAGCCTGTTATTTTTTGAGCTGAAGTTGAGCCTTTGGCAAATACCATCTCTACTCTAGTTCACTTCAGAAGTAACAGAGAATGTCATATGTGCAGATGAAAAGGGCTGCTTAAACCTTCCTTGAAGACCATCCTGGATTTCAAAATAAGGAAATGGTAACAAAGATGCTAGAAATCAAATAGCCTGTTCAGCTATTCATTAAAAAGATAGCAAAGTGCTATTATTATGGCTTTTATTGTATGGGTAGTTAAATTCTCTGTTACCTACAGGAAAAGGACATAACCAAGAAGTAATGTTGCAGTCTGAAGCTGGGAGAACTGAAACTAGAAATGAGGCTACAAATTTAACAGTGAGGGTGATTAATCACTTGCAAAAACTACCAGAATAGTGGTAGTTCCTTCATTTCTAGATGTCTTCAAATCCTTTTGGAAAGCACATTTTATCCAACAGAGGGCTCAATAGAAGAATAACTTGTTCAAAGGTGTAATATGGAAAGACAGGCACAATAATTTTAAGCTTTCTGAGTTTAAAATCTGTGACACTGATAGAAGAGAGAGGACTTGGTCTTTACCAGTTCTGATAAGATGACAGTTGTGAGAGGAATGATGAAAGGCTTTTTGATGATACAATGTCCTGAATTCCTGACTCCCATGAATGACTGAGCACAGAGATCTCAATTGTTTTTCTACTTACATTCCAAAAAAACAAGAGGATAATTACACAGGACAACATTATAATTTTAGTTTTGAACTCATAAATGAATACTGGGAAAGCATGACAGCATATAGGAAATAAAAATAATGGTAGGCCACAAATTAAAATGTGAACTCTAACAGTCCCTAAATTCGGAATCTGAAGTCCTAGATCCAATCTGAGTACAAACCCACAGTGGGAAAAATTAATCTAATTTTCATGTGTGTGGCAGAGAACAGGTTGTGTCTGCCACTTTAAGGGGTTTGAGCAGGTGGCAAGCAGCCTACAGGTGGGAGCAGACCCAGTCAGGTGGTCAGATGGTAGTTAGGAGGCCATCTGATTGATGGAGAGTCTGGGAGCCTGGGTATAAGGCTAGGCCTGAGAGTAGAGCTGGCAGTTGCTGCATGGAGCTGAAGGAACAACATTGCCCATCCAGAGACCTGCTGCTCCAGAATAATCTGAAGGTCAAGGGTAGGCACTATGGGGATGGAGGAGGTTTCTCGTCCTGGGGAATGACCTAAAATTACACGCTGCTGGGGTTGGACGGTTTGGTGGGGCTGGTTCTGGCAAGGAAGTCTCCAGGAAATGCCACACCTGTGCCTCCCCAGTGAAAGGCAAGGGTGGGGCATCAGAAAGCTTCAGCCCCACTGCCTTGTGGGTGACCCTGTGGAAGAGAGAGGCTAGGGGAGCACACCCTGAGAGAAAAACACAGACCCAAGGCCCACTGAGTAGGCCCTTTGGCAGGGTCCAGGCTGAGAGAAAGGGGCCGGAGACTGGGCCCAGGCCCACTAAGTAAGGCCTGAGGCCCAAAGGGCATTAGGCTAAGCACCCCAGTGAAGGGGCCGGGTATTGAGGCTCCAGGGCAGGGGGCATCCCCAGTGAGGAGGCAGGATAGGAGCCCCAGTGAGGGGGTAGCCCCAGGAAGGGAGATGGGTAGAGGCCCCAGTGAAGGGTGTATGTGGCCCAGGTAGGGATGCCTGAGGCCAAGTTTGGGCCAGAGGTCCAGTGCAGTCCAGCTAAGGGTCCGGGGAGTAATAGTGAATGTAGATGCCATCTGCAAGGCGTGGGACATGGTATAAGGGTAGGTTCAGAGCCATGTATTTTGTCCTTGGCATCAGGGAAATTAAATGGGCAGCCTCCCACCTAGGCAGCACTGGAATATGACTTTCTAGAGGAAAGAATCTATGGAACAATTTTAGTTATAACCAGGGATCCTGGTTTTCACTGATATAAAATCACAAATTCTCTGATAAAATAAATCACAAGTTCTCTCATAAAAAAAATATATATATATTAAAATTAAAGGCTCCCCACAGCCCCACCTGGCCCTGCTTGTGCCTCGCATCCCCCCAACCCCGACAGCCTTCCTGGTGCCCCTCACCCCCCACCCACAGCCCCTGCTTCCCCAGCCCTGCAGGAGAAGACCCCCAGGTGCCAGGGCTACAGACCTGGGTCTGCAGCCCTCTGCCTCCGTTCCCCCGCTGCCTGCTGCAGGGGAGGAGGGTGCTGGCTCCCTGCTGCTGAGCACACTTCCAAGAAGGGTAGAGGGAACCCCTGGCCCCAGATCTCTGCATGGGTCAGGCATGGGCAGTGGGCTTGGGCTCCCACCCTGCTGCCCTCCCTTGGGGGCCTCCACAGCCCAGCAGGTGCGAACCAGCATAGCAGGGAGCAGCAGAGCCATGTGGAGAAGCTGCTTGCCACTGAGAGCTCCCCTGCACGTGCTGCTGCTTTGAGAGGCACAACCCTGCACTGCTGTTCTCACTGCAGCCTCGCATCAGCAATCAGCTTCTCTATGTGGCCCTGCTCTTTGCTGCTGCCCTGCTTCCCTCCCAACATGGAGTGCCCCACATGGAGACACTCCATGTCTTTCCCCAACACTTCCCCACTCCCTCAGCCCCCCACCTACACATCTACACCCTGCTCCTCACCTGCTCTGCTGGCTCTTCCCCCAGCCCTGGCAGTCACCCACACCTGCATCTGCCACCCAGGCTTCCCCCCCAGCCCTGCCAGTACCCCTATCCAAGACCCGCAACCCCTCAGTCCTGCCAGAGGGGGCCCCCAGCCCGCTGCAAGCCCCATTTACCTTAGGCTTCAGGAACAAACAGTGAGCCTGAGCCAAGCCTTGGGTGATAGATCCTTAGGCTTTGCCCTTTCCTCCTCTGCCTCCCCCTCCAGACAGGGTTGGGGGTTTCCTGCCCTTTTTGCATTTAGCTCTTGCAGGCTGGAACTCTGCCCATCTGCAGAGCTCTTTGCAAAAGTAGGAAATCTGCAGGTATCTCTGCTAAAAGGGAAAATCCATTTTTTCTCTGATAAAGTCAAGAAATCCATGGTTTTCTCTGTTTTTCCATGGGAAATGGAAAACCCAGATCCCTGGTTATAACAAAGGTGTGGTAGGTAAGACAGGTGGGCATACTGCCCCAGACAGGTGGGCAGGCTGATGTAGTGACTGGCCCAGAGATGACCACCTGTTACAATGTGGAATAGGAAAAATTTCTGAAATCTTCAGGATATTCAGCCATCTTTGCTTAAATCTCAAAGCAACAACTTGTAAAATAAAAATAAGAGGCTTCAGACAGATAATGTCATTTTGTTGGTGACAGTATCAACCTGAGCTGCAGGAACAGGAATATTTGACAGTGTCAAAATCAGATATACTTCCAAATTTTAAATCATATCACACATGCTCTTCAAAGAGAAATAGGTATATTATACATTCAGAGGTGTTTGAGATGGTGTATTTACTCACCTAGCTGGTACCATGTGTCACGGATAGCAAAACCAATTAAACGTCTCATATCCCCATATCTAGAGAGAACAGAAAAACACTGGCTTTAACAATACATTATAAAATTTAAGAAAAATTATATAAGATACTGATATTTTACTTACTTATTCAGGATCTTATTGTACTTTGCATGAGAAAAGTTTTCTAATTGTAGAGAGTCCTGGGTAATAAAAGCCACTGCCAGATGAAAATAGTTGTTCCATAGCTGTAAATTGAATATTCAAAGGTTATAATGGTGTTGAACTAGAATGGGAAGTAGTATTAAACCATGCATAACCCTGAATAATTTATTAAGGCAAATGATGCAAGCAATACAAGGTTTTAATATTACTATTGTGCAATTATAAAAAATCTCTCATCTTTATGCTAACTACTAGTCTCCATTTGTTCTTAACAACATAGCAGTTGCATAAATAGTACTCAAGAAGATTCATATGAAGTTCATTAGCTAATAACAATAAATCACAAACTCCAGCAGAGCTGGTAAAATACAGAACATCCCAATGAATAACTGCCCAGATCCAAAGGCACCTAATGTATTTACACTATACTTGAGAACTTCATCAAAGAGACACACATTCTTCTCTCTGGACCCTATTCTAACCAGATCTGGGGGCAAAAATACAGTTAATTTCAAATGCGCATCCTATGTGTGAAACCAGGACGTGTAGATGCTATTATTACTGAGTCATATACCTGCATTGAGAGAACAACTCTTGTATTTTAGTGTACAGTCTTTCCTTATTTCTGACATCAGATTACTTTATTCTCTTGCTAATCAAAATAAAACACTGGGAACCTTTCCCATATGCTTAAGCAGTGAATGGAAAACTTTACTACAATGCAGGCAGATATGAACTTTCCCACTGAGTGAATGACTGATCACCCCAGGAATAAAAGTAATCAGTACTTTCAAAGGCTTATAGATAGGAAATATACTTTCAAAAGCATATTTTACACTGTTTACACCTAAAAAAAAATATGATAATGAATGTTGTAAGAAAGGAAAATGTAAAGGCTTTCATCAATTATTTTAAAGGATTAAACAAACCAGCAAGTGACTGTAACAAAAGTACTACCAACAGAAACAGATAAGGTTAAACATGTGCTAGACTGAGATTTACACAAAATCTTACATGCAGCTAATGCACTGCATTAAAAAGTGAGTTTTAACACTGTGACCTGAAGAATTCTCTGTGCATAAACTAATACTATAGGGAGCAGATATCAACATCTGGTATAGCATATGAACAAAAAGGAAATGTTTTGTATAGTAAATATGTCTTCAAATCCCTTCTACAATGTCAAAAAACTGTTGCATTAAGGTTAACATACTCCTCCTTTAGTGGCCCATGGCTTCTCTAATGTTTCCTTTACAGATTTTGCTTACTCAAAAGCCCTGAGGAAGGACTCTACAGCAAAGCTTTTGTTCTTGCTTTAAGTGTTTTAAGTCCATAGATCATATATATCCCTGGTGTGATTCTATGGACTTCAGTGGAATTAAGGCAGGGATTTATTTAGCCCAGCCTTTTTCATAGAATTCAAAGATAAACTGAATTCACCCAAATTAATAGAATCTTAATAAAAGAAACATTTAGATATTAATTCAACATAGGACTGCAGCTTTTATCTGATATCAGCATTTGAACTACATCAAAATCTAATGTTTTGACAATATACAATGCTACAGAATAACTTAAACCTTTCTCCCCTAAGACAACTGTTTTTCAAGGTCAAAAACTCCAATTTATGTACGATTAATTCAACTCGCTTCAGGGTGTCTAAAAGTTTTCAGGTACATAGGTGTTTCCCAACCAGTATGCTGTGGTGTGCCGTGAGCCATGTCCAGGTGTGCCATGGAATCCTAGGGGGGCGTGGCTCCTGGCAGTCTCCATGCTGATACCCCCCCACCCCCCCACACCCCTCACTCAGCGTATGGCTGCTCACCACCCTCTCTCCTCCTTGCTCAGCATTTGGCCAGTGTGCTGTGGGGTGGAGAAAGCCAGGTAAGTATGCCATGGTGTGGAAAAGGTTGTGAAATGCTGAGGCATATAGAAAAGATGCATAAAGATATAGAAAAGTAAGCAAGTATTTCCTGTACCCTTTCCTTCTGTGGAAGGAAAAGGTCCCATTTTACAAATAAAGAAATTGGCAGGGAGAGATTAAGGATTTGTCTAAAACCAGAGCGTCAGACCTGAAATAATTGCTTATAAACTTCCAAAATTCAGGTTGGGCAAATACACTGTGCATTTCAGGCATTACAGTCTCTTCTCTGTATTGATGAACAATTTTTGACATGACATATTTCCATTTGCACCAATGGAACAAATGTGTAGGGTCTATTCCACATGCATCAACAGATACTGACCCAAAGTGTTAAAAGTTTTGAAATGGTTTTAATAAATTGTACTTATTTTTAACCTAGTTTTTATACATGTTGGGTAAAAATTATCGCTTTTTTCTTTCTCAGTGTGCAGTAATGGAACACAGAAATCATGACTGACTTAAGGTGCCACAGCAAATTGATGCTGGAATTTGAAAGAGAGCCCAGGTCTTCTAACTTTGTTTTTACACCAAAGCCTTTAAACTACAGCTCTATATTAGGGTCGGGTGGAGTACTATTTATGTACTAAGCATACTTGTCCAAAGGAAAAGGACTGTAACTCACCTATGTTATCTGACATAAACCATAATAACTTCGCCTAATCACATCACTTCTGTTATCCTCTGTAACATGTCTATTTATCACAATCCTGCCATGTCTCTGTCTATCCAAACCCACAGTCTAGCGTGCCTTTCTCCTCCATGAACTACCATCTTCAACTCAAATTTAACATTGTCAACACTGACCCCCTTCCACATCCTTCCAAACATTGCCTGTCTCTTTCTGTTTCCTGTCATTGTTGACACTTTTTTACCACTCAGAGAAAAAAAACAGTGGCTTATGTTCAGCTGCTTCTCTTCCCTTGCCCTACCCATCCAACCTATGTCCAAATTCTGCTGTTTATTCCTCAATAACACATGCAAAACTTTTGTTTTCTTCATGTTGGGTTGTCATGATCTCAGTTCTTGAATATTTCAATGTCTTTTTCTCTGACTTCCTCAACTCTTCCTGTCAATCCCTGCCTCTGTTCAAAAGCTGCTGTTATAATCACCTTTTCTGGCTGCCACACTTACTCAGTTTTAAATTCCTCTCCTGGTCCTTTGTTTTGCATTACATCAAATAGCAGATCATTATCCTCTTTTTCAAGGCTCTTAACAGTTCTACTCTATTTATGTTCTTGTCCCTTATATTACCTGGCTGCCCCCTTCATTCCACCAAGGATGCCAGCCTTGAGTTTATTAAAATCTGGTTAGTTTCACGGCACTACCAGGCCATATCCTCAAATAAAAGATGCCAACCCCTACAACATATCAGATAAATATCATTCAGTTAATTATTGTACATATACTTCAGCCTTTAAATAAACAAAAAGAACACCAAACATCGCTGCTGCCTGTATTGTTTAATGTTTAAATCCTCTGCGGCAATCCTTCTGATCTCTAGTAGACTTTCATACTCAATAGCTCTATGAAAGAGCTATAAACTAAAGCTATTCTGATGCCTTTGTTTTGATCACGTCTCTCCTGACTGCATAAGCCAGTGGGGGTCCACTTTTAAGAGCATGTGCCACAGATTAGTTCGCCCTTCACCCTCCCTAAATGCCACTCTGATCCTCTTCCTGTGCCTAAGCAGCTGCTCTGCTTTCTGTTTCTTGCTCTATCTGCTACTGTGCTACCTCTGCCTTCCCTGATATGCCACGTGCCACACACACGGATTGCCTATGTCACATGTGCTGCAGGTTGGCCACACTAGCATAAGCCATATAGACACCATACCTCCTTATGTAGAAACTTAAGATAAAATCATGATTAGTTACTAAGTAGTATAACTTATTTTTTACATCCACAAGCAAATAACAGTGCCACTCATTTAATGATATATGATTTGTTTCACAAAGAAACATGCTGAAAGAACGAAGTTCCATTAAATTAGACCACCTATAAATCCCTTACATTAATTTCAACTTAATGTGTGAGCTACAATAAGTAATTACTGGAAACTAGGTTAGATGTCTATGATATATCAAGTACAGGTGTCACAGGGCATTAAGGTGCCTGTTCCTATAAGAGCAGAAACTGCCTAGGGAGAGGGCCCTAAGAGCCAGACAGCAGCCCACAGGTGCAGGTTACAATGGCAACAGGTTAATGAGTAAATTAGTCTGCACCTGCATCTGGCCAGCTGACCAGAAGAGGCAGGGCCCTGGGCAAATCTAAACCCCAAGGCTGGAACCAGAGAGTTATTTCTCTGTCAGCAGCCAAGGGGGAGGGAGCTCTCAGAAAAAAAACTCACCAGAGAGGCTTGGCTGCCTGTTCTACTCTGGGTAGGATTAAGGGGCTCCAGGAGCTCACCAGAGACCCTGATTTATAAGGCACTTAGTGCTGGGGGAAGTTTGATGTTTTAAAGGGGCAGAGCATACCCTGAACCATTTATATTGTTATAGCCCAGGGGCTCAGATTTTAGTTGCTGTTTGACTGGTGGATTGGGCTGAGACTATTGGGGAAGGAGACCTCATTGGGGGCCCACAATGGTGTGGGGACCCCAGCACCAGAGAAGGGCGCGGCGATCAGGAGGTGAGCAGACCCCAGTGCAGAGATCCCCCAGTGCAGGCTGCAGAGATCCCCCCAATTTTGGGGTGCAACAATGGGCAGCCTCCTGCCTTAACTAACAGCATAATTACCAACAAGGCGTGGTGGGAGACTTAGGCGGGTGGCGTGCCCAGAGGCAGGTGGAAAGCTAGCCTTGTGGCTAGCCAGGGACTCCCACTTAGCCACAATAGGGTAATATTTTTCATACAGTCCTATCATATGAATATTAATACTGTTGTAAAGTAACCCAAAGAAGGGAAATAATGGTGTATTTAAGGATACAGTTTTAGTTGCGTCTCAGATATTTCTAGATATTTTTTAGCACATCCCTTATCTCTAGAGTAATTTCACCAGCCTGCAATAGACTAACATTATTACCAGTCCCAATACAGCAACAAAGATATAGAAGGAGTTTTAATGAAGGCAAGATTCTCTGCATTATTAAATTGCTGACTATGCATACAGTTACTTTCATATATGCAAAGAGTATAGCATGAAAAGGAACTAAAGTTGAAC